AAGCTTTTATATTATTTAAATCTAAATTTTATTACAAATTTTGATACAAGAAATAACCCCGTAATTGCTTATCGCAAGATAACTATTGCTCCCCTCTTTTAGAAATATTAGTTACTTATTGCAAAATAGTTTTAATAGCTTTATTTCTTGGTTACTTCCTTTTACTATTATATAAATAGTTAGTAGTTGCGAGCTAAATAATTTATATTGATGTTTTTACTAACTATTAAGTAATTGATCAATGTCACAGAATACACTCGGGTGCCTCTTCTGGAACAAACTATATAAGACCACTTGAGCAACCGAACTGCCAGCTTCGATTACTTATATTCTTTTGGAACATAGCCTAGTAGTGTAGTAGTCCGCCAGCACTGTGACTAGTAAAATATTTAGCTTGCTCTACTTTTATTATATTTTAATATGGTAAATATACACAACTTACTAGTAATAGTAGCAATTTCTTTAAAAGTCGGCTGTCACACGGACATTTTCTCACAATTCTAGGTTAGATGTTCTGGGGCTTAACAGAACCTCAACACTGCATTAGCCTTAACTGCTGATGGCGCTGAGCATTATCCTAAGGTTCTCCTTTCATCACAAGGTGAGAGGACACCGTTAGGGACATGGTGAGATATGCACTGTTATACAATGTGCATGAAAGACAGGTCAGCCCGTGCATACGTACGTGCAGCTCCAACTGGGCCACAATGACGACCAGACAGAGGCCGATGCTAGAGGAAAAAAGGAGAATAGGTGAAAAGCACTCAGGAAGATCCAAATGAAGACCGCTAGATAAATACCTCAAGACATTAGGCAACAAGGCTTGGTACACACCTCAGTACGTACCACATCTCTTTGATATAAGAAGGCCTTAAAACCCAGCCTTTGGTTGAAGGTTAAAAGAATTAACAAGGCTTTCGAGACCAAAGTAGTTTATTAGCTGAATTGAACTACTGTTTCAACCCAGAACACTGCCCTTGTCACATTAGCAGCTTAAATAATATCATTATTTAAAGATAATTAATGTAGTCGCGAGCAGCGAAATATATACGGACGCTTTTATATCTAGTTAATATATTGCCTACTTTCTTAAAGTAATAATTAAAATTAGTAAGTATTGTCACGGCGCTAGCGGACCACTACATCACTAGGCTATGTTCCAAAAGAATACAAGTAACCGAAGCTGGCAATTCGGTCGCTCAAGTGGTCTTATATAGTTTGTCCCGGTGTCACAATGCTAGTGGACCACTATACCACTAAGCTATGTTCTAAAAGAATATAAGTAACCGAAGCTGGCAGTTCGGTCGCTTCAAGTGGTCTTATATAGTTTGTTCCAGAGGAAGTCACCCGAGTAGTCATTCTATAACATCTGGAAGAGGCACCTGAGTGCATTTTGTGACAGTGCGGCTTTAATAATAATTTAAATAGTAATAATAGAGTGTAGTAGTTGTCTGAAATTATGATATGAATGAGTAGTTTTACGTAGCGTTAATGTAAAGGCACGTAACGGGCGAGACAGGGCTGCAGCGTTGTTAACGTTCAATATAGAATTTATGACTAAAGAATAAAATAAAAAGTAAGAGTTACGTACGCGGCTGACGATAGAAGATATACTCTTAAGGCTAGCCGCGCCATGGACTTACTCTTTCTTATCTAATCTACAACTAATTATATCTCTCGTATCTATGCAGCTTATCTGGTAAAGCATGACCCGTCTAGCCGGGCCATAACAGTTAATAGTAGATTTGATATAAGACCAATTAGCACTATCTTATAAATATTTCGCTATTTTGAAATTTCTTAATCTCCTCTTTTATGAAAGAGGTTGATAAAAGATCCTACTTTTCACTCAACCGCCAAGTAATTGCGCGATTTAATTAGTCTTTTTATTATCTACCGTCGTTGTACCATCTTGAAATCGGCGATGTTGTGTAACAACATCCTGAGTGCAGTTTTTGTGTGATACAGTGATAACCATCGAACTAGAAAGCCACCCTATTCCAACGGCGTTGCTCAATATCGCGCTATAGGTGAGGGGTTCATAGCCCTCGCCCATGACACTTCCTCTTGTCTCCATTCTCGAAACCCAACCTAAAAAACGCTATCTGCTCACGCGGTCCGCATGGCGGCCCGGCACAGAATCTAGAACTTCCCCGGAGAGGGATATCGGACGCACGCTACAGGTTTTGGCAGCGCACGGAGTTGCGGTCTGAAAGTCCCTCGTTTCAAAGACTCTCTGGGATTGCCCGAGAAATGGACATGCTATCAAGCGGCGAGATAGGCGCAAACATGGGATGAAAGGGGTCCCGACTTTCACAGTCGTCGTCACATTTGATCAGTCCAAGTGTAAATAAAGAAGGCTTCGGGCAGGTTTTGCGAGGTCATGGAAGTGGAAATCAGCCACGAAGAGACAGCAACGATCACCAATTCAAATCATGACGGAAGACACCGAATGCGGCCGATGCTTCTCAATGCCCAATGTCTGTCCAGCAAAAGCGTGATTACGAGAGGTTGCGGGCAGCAAAAGGTGGGACCCCTGCCATGTTCTCTGGCTTCTCTGCTGCCTTCTGCGGCTAGCTGGGTAGCACCAGGTGCCATACGTGGTTAGGGTAAATTCTGCAGCGCCGATTGGATTTTTTTCTGATTCTTCGTTGGAGAAAAAAACACGAAATGGAAAACGATCGAGATGGCGGCCGGGGCTGGACGACGGGGGCTCCGCCGGCGTCCTAGGCGACTAGACCACACCAGGGCGATGTCCCTTTTTTTGTGGGCGGAAATCAAGAAAAAAAAGTTTTGCCAGCAGGATGAGGAGCACAGCCTCCGGCCTGCTGGTCTCGCTTTCCTTCACGCAGTGCCAGAGATGCCCCGTGCCCTGCCAATTGCCCTCTTCCCGCTCCTTTGCCTTGACCACAGCAGGCTTTTTGAGGTTCCATCTTGTGTCTCCCCACCTCGAGGTCCGCCTGCTGCACATTGGCATTGTCCAGCGGTTGAATTGAGCCTGGGCCCCTCCACTCGACAAAAAAACGAGCGCACTCGGCAACTCACAATCAGCAGCAGAAAGAAATCGTTGACCTCCCGCCCCGGCCCGCCGAGTCCAAGACCCCCCGCCCTCCTCCACCCCCCTGACGCCTGATTCTTTTAACCTCCCCTCCTCCACGCAACCGTTTTGACACTTTTCCTCTCTTTCCTTCTCTTCTCTCCTCTTCCCTCTTCCTCATCTGCAACCATTGCAACTACACACGTAGCCCCCTTCATTCCAGACACTCTATCCAGTCCACAGCTTGCTTTCTTGCGCGATAACGGGTAAGTCAATGACGGTGACGGCGGTGTGCTTCCAATTCCATCCCATGATTCTCGAATGCTCTACCCTCTGATATCCAGCCACACCCGACCCGGATCACATGTGTGCTCCAAAGAGTCGGGATGGAAGCTCTCCCGGCTTTCTCTGGGTCTGCGCCCCGTAGAGTGGGGAGCTCTTCCATGTGGCAAACCCGACCTGTCGCGGACTGCTCAAAAAGGCTGGCTTGGCCGACTACCCGACTCGGAGTCTGCGTCCCAGACTACCTACATCCCAGTGTCATCATAGTGTGGAGGGATCATCACAACTCCCAACCTCCAAGTCCAACACAACTCTGCACACATTCTTCACAGATTCTTCACCCTCTTTGCCCAGCTTTCTCTCTGCCTCTCCACGACTTGGTCACGGTCAAGTTGCTAACATATTACGCCCATTATCAGGACGGACACGTCGTCGTCGTCGCCATAGCATCCACCTCCCTTGACTGCCTTTGGTCTTCTCAAAGGCAACCCTATATAACACGGCTTCCTCGGCCGTAAAGCTCGTCTCGGACCAAGATTTCAGCCTCAGAAAGACCTTCCACATCATCAACGTCGTACCTCCCCCATCCGCTCCTGAGGGTCTCTAAGAAGCTCGACGCTTTCTTTTTCGACCTCTCTCCCAACCAAGGACCTGAATACAGTCCCAACCGTCAGCTGCCGCATAGGACGAGTTCTGCGGTTCTTCCTCTAACGGAGGAAGAGTCGAGGAGGCCTCGTCAGATCGCTCAGGGATCAGTCTCGTACCGACACCGACCCCCCTAAAACCAATTTTCGAGAAGCACCTGTTGCTCCTTTTGACAAAGACACATTAACTACACAACAAATCTAAAACCAACAACAACCAACAAGCACAAACTCCCCCCTCCTACCGGGAACCTCCGAAACCTCGCAAAACTCCACTACCAACTCTCGATCTTATCCCCCCAGTTAAATCTTGGGATATGGTTATGCCGACTGTTGTCTCCGACCGCATGGGCACTATCGATTTCATCGATTATACAAACAATCATGTCTTTTCAAAGTGTCAAACCGACAGTTTGAACATCATCAAAAATGGCTCCTTGAAGCACGATGATTACCTCCGCGGCCTTGCCAATGGCAAGTTAGTCGCCAAACAACTGATTGGCGATGCCCTCCGCCAGCGTGTGGAGAGCATTGACTACGAGTTCTGCGAGCCCGGCGATGAGGACACCTTCTTTGTCGCCGATCTCGGCGAGGTCTACCGCCAGCACCTCCGCTGGAAGTTGAACCTTCCCCGCGTCAAGCCGTTCTATGGTGAGTATTTCCACTTACTTGGGCTCCGTATCGAGGAATCAACTTGCTGACTTTGATGATTTTTTTTCCAGCTGTCAAGTGCAACCCCGACGACAGGCTCTTGCGGCTTTTGGCCGCTCTCGGCACCGGCTTCGACTGTGCCTCCAAGGCCGAGATTGAGCAAGTTCTCCGCATGGGCGTCGATCCCTCTCGCATTATCTATGCACAGCCGTGCAAGACCAACTCCTACGTGCGCTATGTCGCCCAGCAGGGCGTGCGCCAGATGACCTTCGATAACGCCGATGAGCTGCGCAAGATTGCGCGCTTGTATCCCGACGCCGAGCTCTTCCTCCGCATCCTTACCGACGATTCTTCGTCCCTTTGCCGTCTCAGTCTGAAGTTCGGCGCTTCCCTCGACTCCACCGACGGTCTCTTGGGCCTTGCCCGCCAGCTGGGTCTCAGCGTGGTTGGCGTCAGCTTCCACGTTGGCTCTGGCGCCTCTGATCCCACTGCTTTCTTGAAGGCTGTCCAGGACGCTCATGTCGTCTTCCAGCAGGCCGCTGCTTATGGCTACAATCTCAAGACTCTTGATGTGGGTGGAGGCTTCTGCAGCGACGATACTTTCGAGCAGATGGCCAGCGTCTTGCGCGCTGCCCTCGATGAGTACTTCCCGGCCCATACCGGCGTCAACCTCATCGCTGAGCCTGGTCGCTACTACGCTTCCTCGGCATTCACCCTTGCCTGCAACATCATTGCTCGCCGCACTATTCAGGACGGCTCTGCTGTCTCGGTCTCCGACTCCTCTTCTTCCATGAGCGACGACGGATCGATGAACAACGGCGACGCCAGCTACATGGTCTATGTCAACGATGGTCTGTACGGAAACTTCAGCAGCATCATGTTCGATCACCAGCACCCCGTGGCCAAGATCCTCCGTGCTGGCGGCCGTACCATGTACGACTCTGTTGCTGCTCACGAGTCTGCTTCGGAGGACGCCATTGAGTACAGCATCTGGGGTCCCACTTGCGACGGCATTGATCGCATCACCGAGAGCATCCGCTTCCGCGAGATTCTCGATGTTGGCGACTGGCTGTACTTTGAGGATATGGGTGCCTACACCAAGTGCTCGGCCACCACCTTCAACGGTTTCTCCAACGAGCATGATGTCATCTACGTCTGCAGCGAGCCTGGTGCCCTGGCTCTCATGGAATTGTAAGGTGCAGCCTTGCATAACAGATAAGGCCCATTCGAGGTTCCTTGGATAGGGGGAGATGTGTGCTGTTGTTGTTATTTGCGCAGGTGGAAGTTCATGCAAAACAAGTTGAATTTCTTTCGTTGGCTCGTTTGGGCCCCCTTTGTTATAGAATTTGCTTTGCATTTTGGATTATCGACAAAAAGGGGGCCTAGGAAAAGATGGAGCGCAGTGTTGGATCAACCTCAGGGTTACAAAACAAAAACGTGGTTAGAGATTATTGGATGCAAAACAGCAGTTGGGTTTAGACATTAGAGGAATATGAATGCGTTGGCCCCCATCGACCTTTGACCTTTGAATTTCCATTGTGATGAACACAATGCAGGTGGACGTTGAATATGGCAGGAATTATGTAACGAGGAGGTGATTGCGCTTCTATAACTGTGTCATGCTGAAAGTGTCACGAGGTAGGTGAAATGTACGGAGTGCCCTCGTGCGACCAGCGTGTAAGTCACGGCTTTCCTTATTCGACCCAAGGTCAATATTGTCATGGTTTCGGCGGCATCCCATCCTTCCCGTTCATGTCTTATCTCCCCGCCTTCCAATCTTCCCACCCAGGGTTCAGCTCACCCAATCCCACTCGGTGATTCGCTGAACTTCACATGTGCTATCACGAGCTGCGCATCATTGTTGCTGGGATTTCGGATGAAACATCGATAATTGATGATTCCACTTCGCAAGCACGTCGTAGGGGATGTTTATATCATGTATGTCTCGGTACAACCCAGCATCCGTCCGGTCTTTCCTCCCGTTCTCAAGCATCAAGATTAGCAGAATGAAGATATGGAAGGGACTTTGGAAGGCGGAACATCCGATTGCTCCAAGTTATCGTACTAGCCGGCCATGCCGCCTTCCGTGTAACGACAGCAACCCGGCTTGGGAGGTCGGGGAACCTTGATGAGCCATCCGACTTGGAGGTGTTGGAGGTGGTGTCGAAAGATACTTGACTCCCAACTTTCCCCCCTTCTCCCCAATGGCTTGATACCTGACCTTTTCTTTTCCCTCTTTTTTCCTCCTGAGCTTGCCTTTCCTCCTTTTTCTTATCCCTTTTCTACAAACCTAATCACGTCTTCACTGTTTGCATCTACGGTCCTTTTCCATCCATGAATGACTGCAGTTCTCCAAGGAGGCAATCGTGACTGGAACGAGGGGAGAAGTCCGGGAAGGTGACTGAGCGGCAAGCAAGTAGAAATTTCAACGGCAACGAAGCTGGTACTAGCCAGCGCCATCCCGTTGTGTTTCGAAATATTTGAGGTTCACGCACGTATACCGAGAGAGAGACAGAGAGCAAGCCAGCAGTCATGGTCCGCAACGTCGTTGTCCTAAGCGGTAACTCACATCCGAAATTCGTCGACAGTGTCTGCACCTACCTAGGGCTTCCGCCGGCAAACCGCGTGCTGGAGAAGTTCTCGTCGGGCGAGACACGTTGCGAGATTAGGGACTCAATACGTGGGAAGGACGTCTACATCATCCAGTCGTTTGGGGTGGGAACCGACAGAAACGCGGTCAACGACAACGATAGATGCTCTTCGGCTACAGGAGCCACAGGTCATGTCACCGTCAACGACTACTTCATCGAACTCTGCATCATGATATCGGCCTGCAAGACGGGATCGGCTCGCAGGGTCATCGCCGTCCTGCCATTCTTCCCTTACTCCCGCCAGCCGGACCTGCCTTACGCCAGGACTGGGGCGCCGCTGGTGTCTAGAAATCGAGAATCGTCCATGACAGCAACTGAAGGCCCGGGCGGTGTCTCTTACACGTTCGAAAGCGTCCCGCCTACACCGGCCGTACATATCCCACGGACTGCTGGACTGACTAACGGCATGTCTAAGCTAATCAATGGTCTGTCCAACAATAGCATCACCTGTGGTATCGACATCCGTGACATGGTTAAGGCTCCAGCTACAGTGACGGTGACGGGACCAGCCAGCGATGATGGTAACAAGTCGTTGGGAGAGAAGCAGCCCCTTCAACAAAAAGCCAACGACAGGTTCACCACGCACGACTACGAGAACCCGACCATGGCGATGGCGTTCCAACAGAAGGCCGGGTTCAAGCCGATGATGGCGCAGGCGGGATCGTTGATTGCGGATCTGTTGACGTGTGCGGGAGCGGATCGGATTGTTACGTGCGACTTGCATGAGAGCAGTTACCAGGGGTTCTTCGATATTCCCGGTGAGTTTCATGTCGCAGCCCTCCTCCTGCATCTTCCCTTCCAAAGTCGGGCAAGGGAAAGTAAACACCCGTCTAACTTTCGGTCATTGCAGTCGATAACCTCGTCGCCAAACCTATTCTGAAGCGGTATATCCAACACCACATCGAGAACTACAAGGAAGCCGTGGTAGTCAGCCCGGACGCCGGCGGGGCTAAACGCGCCGCCGCCATCGCTGACAGTCTAGGTCTAGGATTCGCTCTCGTCCATAAAGGTGAGTATTTCTGTGAGAGAAGGAATCGAAAGCTCACATCCCTAAGTCCTTTCATCACTGCTGCACCGAGCCACATCCAGACTCGCCTCTTCATAACAAGGCAAACGACACTGACACTCTTTTTTCTTGTCCCGGTAGATCGACGCCCGCCGTCCATGCCACCCCGGCAAAATCAACCAAACTACCCAACAATGATGCTCGTCGGAAACGTGGCTGGCCGCGTCTGCATCATGGTCGATGACCTCGCCGATACGGGCAACACCATCACGCGCGCGGCCAAGCTACTCAAGCGCGAGGGGGCCGTCCAAGTGATTGCGCTCATCACGCACGGCGTGTTTAGCAGTGACGCGATACAGAGGATTAATGCGTCGGCGCTGGATCGGGTGGTGGTGACGAACACGGTGGCACAGGATCGGCATCTTGAAGCGTTCGGGGCAGCTGAACCTGGAGGGAAGAAAGAGCAGGTAGACAAGAATAAGAATGATGCGGACCCGCGAGTGGTTTGTGGCAAGTTGGAGGTGTTGGATATTGCACCCTTTTTTGCGGAGGCGATTAGGAGGATCGTGTTTGGGGAGAGTGTTAGCATGCTGGTTCGGGATGGGGATTGAGAAAGTGGAGGTGGTGGTCAAGGAAAGGTAAGGTAATGGGAAAACACGGCCCTGGGCGAGGGTAAGGTTAGCATGTACAGTATATTTCAATCTTGGGTTTCTTCTCTTCTCAGCGCCTGTATTTTTCTTGCCAAAATTGACCACTTTACCGGTCGTCAAAACCACAAACACGTTTTTATGCAGTTGAAGAAACTCAGTGGTGTATATAAGTTGACTGGTAGCTGTATGCCTGTATCAAACTTCGAAATCGGCATCTCATCTCACCCTTGGGCCTAAAGCCTAAAGCGTGGGGTAGAAATCAGCACGCTCAATCCATGCTCTCTGATGTCACTCGCCAATGCTGGAGTAATTCAGTGAAGACGACTGGTGGGGTTTAAACGATACGTATCAACAGGCGGGGGAGGCCTACCGTTGTTAAGTTGTGAGCAGATAAAGGGCTGCAGTTACCGTTCGTCTTTCAATCTGTCTAGAACGCATATCAAGAAACGAGCTGGAAATAGTAACAGAAAACGTTCCAAGTGTTTCGGTCCCTTGACTTTTGGAAAGTGGCATTGTCTAGATCTCGGATTCTGAACTTGTCCCAATCCGTTTTCGAACGTCGAATGGTAATAATGGTACCAAAGTGTACTTGGTAATGCACCCGTACGGAAGGTATGGTAGTAACAGAAGAAGTGCCGGGGCGAGTCTGGCCTCTGTCTCTTTCCGGGAAGCAAGCATGCATTCGATGCTGTTGACTTCGATTTCACACGCTGACGTTGGTTTCCACAAACGCGTTCTAAACGCGAAAAGACGCGCTCGAACCACCATTAAACGCGGTTTAAAAGTCGGCTCCCTGTCTGCCCTGGTGGGGTCGGCTGCAGTGTGGTCCGCCCTGCGGATATGGTTTACGGCGGCCCCGCTTGTAACTTGGAATAATCTCCAGCGACAAGGCGGGAACTTCGTCTCCCTGTGGCAGTGAACCTCATGACAGGTTGACAACTTGGTTGACACTAGGAATAAAAAAGCAGCCAGTCGGGAGTCTTCAACAACACCAGTCAAACGCGTTGTGTTACCCCTGCCCCTTGCACTCAAAAGAACCGATGCTGGTACATAAAAACAAAACAAACAGCGGCATGTCTGCAGTGCCGGTGCAGGAGGAGGCATGGCCAAATGCACTGGAGACGGGACCGAACCAGCGAAGGGATGGACGAGGGCCTGCATTTGTGGTTGACTTCCGTTTTGTGGACCGTTGGCTTTGGGCCTATGGTATGAAAACAACAAAGACAACAACAACAAACAATCGCGAGAAGACGAGAAAAGAGAAACGGAAGGACGATATGCAGTGTACTAGGTTTGCCATCATCCTCACCGCTTATGAAAGAGACTTGAGTGACTCTTAAAATCTACATTCTCTTCATCCCCGAAGGGCAATAAACGAATAAGAGGCGGCTGTGGAGGACAAGTTATGTGGATTGGTCCAATGTTGCCGTCTCTGGCTACTACTTACAAACGAAACGGGCAAAAAGACGACGGGTTCTGCCGCATCACACCTCACTGCACGCACTTCAGTCCGATCAACCGACGGGAGACTCCATGTGTTTTTTGAGGAATCACCCCACATCATATGGCAGATGGTAGCGCGGCGAGCGCGGGGAGTGAAAACTGAAAATAGATAACCAAACCAACATCTGCAGTATCGCATCACCAGTTTTGCGGTTTACCTGTGTCGGTAACACGAGTCCTTGGGCCCATGTGATTGATGTTGGCTTTGATGTCAGCATTCTTGCTCCTGGCTGGGGGAGGGGAGGAGGGGATCCTTGGGGAAAGGGTCAGGACATCATATGCAGTTGTAAACTTCACAAGATCGTATTGGTAACGTAAAGGGAGTGTGCATGCACCGGCTTCCCACAACATCGAATTGAGAAGGGTGGATTCGAGTTTTGTGATTCCATGGATTGGATTTGACCATGGGCCAGCGCCGACCGGGACATGTCTGGCAAGTTTGGCTGGGCTTTGTGGAGCGGATGGGAGGCAATGGCGGGTCAATGTTTTGATGGCCTGTGCGCGGCAGGGCCGTTGCAGTGCCCGCTTTCCCTAATGAGGTTAGTAAGTGGCCTGGCGCGACTGGCTGCCGCGACTCCGTCAGTCCGTCAGTGAGTGGGAGAGTGGGCAGGGCGTGGGCAGCCGACGCTCACTCAATCAACGCCTGCTCCCACCCACCCGTCCACCTGCCGTCCCACCCCTGGGCCTACCTTTTCCAGAGATTACCTCGACTTTACAACCACCACCAGAAGACACCAGGTTCCAACATCCAACCTTTGATCCCGATACCTTGCCTCTGGTCCATCGCCCGCCGAGTCCGCTCACGACTTTTCAATGCTGTCGCCGTCTCAACGTTGATAACCCGGTCCGACGCGCAACCTTGCCGCACCCACCTATGATCGCCGAAATTAATACTAGGGACGAAAGAAAGCCACCCCCGGAATTACCACTCATTGACGTGCACCCGTATTGAAACCAAGCATCGATAGCTTCTTGCGCCGCGCATGTGGGAATAGTCACACACTCTCTCTTCACGACGACAACACTCGGGACCACGGCGAATAACTATTTAATCTTGCGACAACCGCCGCCGCTGCCTCCCCCAAGCAATAGTGGTGCCCCGCCAGTGTACAGGCAGTCTCGTCGCAGCGCATTGTTCGATCCGTTCTCACCACCGCCGCTTGCCATACCTGTTTGCCTTCCCACCGGCTTCTCACCACATCAGACTTGGGACGACATTAACAAGTGCGCCAAAGACAAAGGATCAGATACAACTGGCACGTGTTGCATCAACTTTATTACGACCTCGTCGTCGCCCCCGCCGACTCGGGCATTCCTCTCTTTTTAAAGCAAACGAAGCCAACCCGAGTCTGCCGTCGCAAGATATCAAGAGTCGACCCGCCACCCGGTCTTCTACTCACCCACTCCTCAACGTCGCATCAGCATCACAAGTTCCAACTAGGTTTACCATAGTATTGAAATTCGAAGTCAAACATGGTGACCACCGGCGACGTCTCCGGGCGCGCCGCACACTCGGCCGGCACAAAAAGGTCCTCTCATGAAACTCGCAGCCAGGCAGTCCACGCATCAACAACTAGAGTAACCAGGTCGACGAGATTGCAAACCCCTCCTCCACCATCGTCAGGCAACTCACGCGAGGAACCACCGACGGAGATTGCCAGAAACCCACGGCGGGCGCCAACCACAGCTGAGAACCATGTGAACAACTTGGACGTGGAAGCAGTCGATAGCGCTTTGCGCCGGGAAATTCAGCAACGCCAAAATTCACCAGGGCCAACTTCGCATAGGAAGCGACAGCGCATCAACGGTGATAGGTATGTCTTGCTAAGGGTGGGGTTTTCATCCGCATTCAGGAGTCTCTGACATCTAGCCAGGTTTATTCCCACCCGGTCTGGACAAGACTTGCAAGCCAGCTTTAGTCTTTTGCATGAAGAGGGCTCTCCCGCGACGCCCAGACAGAAAAGGCGCACACCGCAAGGGGAGCTTCATTTTCAGAAAAGTAAGTCATGATCCGGTCTTATCCTAGAGTGCCTTGCTGACAATTTCGCAGCTGAGGAAGCAAATCGTACGTTCTCAACTGTGCTACGACAAGAAGTTTTTGAGGATACTGTGCCACAGATTGCCCCGGAGTCTCTATCACCAGACCATAGGAGAGCATCGCGGGGTTATCTACATGAGGGTACAAGGTCTCAGACGCCTCCTCGGAATGGACTTCCGGCCGCGGCAGCACCAACAACCCTTACCCCCTCTACACCTCACAAGAACCTGTTCTCGTATCTATCACCACGACATGCTAGCCTTGGCGGCCATCCAACTCCATCCAGGACGCCACAAAGTCGGCACGGCATTAACCTGGACACCCGGGCCGAAATCTACAGTCTCTCACCCATAAAACATAAGAGCCAACAACTGTTACTGAGCCCACGGAAGCAGCCACGCGCGATCAGCAAGGTTCCCTATAAGGTGTTGGACGCTCCTGAGTTGCTGGACGACTACTACTTGAATCTAGTCGACTGGGGGAGCGCCAATGTCCTGGGTGTTGGCTTGGGATCCAGCGTCTACATGTGGAATGCACAAACAAGCAGGGTCAACAAGCTATGTACGCTGGAAGACGACACCGTGGCAAGCGTTTCATGGATACAAAAGGGTACCCATCTCGCTATCGGTACTCACAAAGGACTGGTACAAATCTGGGATGCCGAGAAAGCACGAAGGCTGAGGACGATGACGGGCCATACTGGCAGGGTGGGAGCGTTGGCATGGAACACCCACATCCTGACATCAGGGTCCCGGGATCGTCTAATATACCACCGCGACGTTCGAGCCCCGGATCAGTGGCTGAAGAAATTGGTTGGCCACAAGCAAGAAGTTTGTGGTCTAAAATGGAATTGCGACGATGGCCAACTTGCCAGTGGAGGAAACGACAACAAATTGATGGTGTGGGATAAGCTTTCAGATACGCCGCTATGGAAGTATTCTGGCCATACAGCAGCCGTCAAGGCGATAGCCTGGTCACCACATCAACGCGGCCTCCTGGCTTCCGGTGGCGGAACTGCTGATAGACGCATCATCTTTCACGACACCGTTCGCGGCACGGTACTTAACGAGGTGGACACGGGTAGCCAGGTCTGCAATATTGCCTGGTCCAAGAACTCCAACGAAATCGTTTCCACGCACGGTTACAGCCAAAACCAAATAGTAGTCTGGAAGTACCCCTCCATGACGCAAGTCGCCAGCCTAACAGGTCACACTTATCGGGTGTTGTACCTGGCCATGAGCCCGGATGGCAAGACCGTTGTAACCGGTGCCGGAGACGAGACCTTGCGGTTCTGGAACCTTTTCGGCAAGAGCACGAAGAAAAATATCCACGACTTGGACGGAGGCGGCAGCGGACGCTCAGGTGACTGGGGAGTTATTCGATGATGACGGGAAGGGACAAGGAACCCGCAACCAGTGGAAGGATCTCAGCTATGATGGCGTCGATTTTCCCAAGAGTGCGCGAGCAGGTATCAGCCCTTCACTCGTCCTGGCTACGGCGTGCTCGGCGATCTACACAACGCGCCACTTCTTCACATTGCTCTCATTATCTGGAGCTTGACATACACTTCATTTTAATCTTATGTTGCTCTCTTAAGATAGAGGAGCCCAACCATCAGCGACTCTTCTTACGTGTTTTCTTTTTCTTTTCTTTTCTTTTTTTCTCATCTTGTGATAAGGTGTGTGGTATCGGAGGTTTCAGCGAGTCGATTTGCTTCTCGGACCAGACAGGCGTTTTTGGTAAGGAAAGAATGGACAAGGCGGGATGTTTTGAATTCGCTAGCATGCATTGGCACGGCATGGCATGGATGGACGGGATTCGAATTCTGCTCTTTATTTTTGCGCATTGCACCAATTTGCCTTGGTTTATTTCATTCTTTTTGCTTTATTTTTGCTTGGTCACACTTTCACAAGGTCACAGCGAGGAGTAGACGGGTAACGGGATTTGGCGGGCATGCTGGACGGTCAGACAGACAGGCAGACAGACGGATGATGCTACAAGTAAAGTGGAAGAAAAGGAGGTTCCGAGATGGACTAACTAACTAGACTTCTTCAAGTCGGGATGAAATGAGAGAAGAGAGAGAGAGAGAGAGAGAGAGAGAGAGAGATGGAGAGGTTTACATTGCATTTCGTACATAGCGAATACCACCATTGCACCACTTTTTGAGTCGGTCACAAGTTGATCATCCATGTTCATCGTTCACAATTCCGTTCCAACATTGACTCTTCTCTCGACTTGTACATAACACATGGACGGGTGTTTCATGACGTTAAATAATACAGAACGTAAGACACCAAAGTCATTCACATCTGACCAGTTGACTAGGTAGATAGAGTCCAAATATATCATATCCCTCTCTTCTCAGGCTCTCATCACTCAGTTCCTCTAACGTTGCTCAACCATTGATTGACAATGGCCATCTCCATCCAGGGTGCGACTTCCAGGAGTTTGAAGTGAATGAGTGTCTCCACCCTCATTGTACTCATTCACTCCCCGCCTTCGCCAGTTGTGTTAAGCTCCGGCCACTCGACAGCTCCATTCTCTCTAGGCGCAATGCTCCTTCTTCCCGATCGCTTTTTACTTTGCCATGAAAGTTGTAGGTATGAGACAACACCATGACCAACTTAATGAACCTCAACACCCGAGAATACCTATGATGGGTCTGCGAAGGCTTTCTCGACATGCCGTTCTTCAATACTTCCAGGCAAACAACCACACTATCAAGGTCACGATTTCTTTTTCTTTATAGATGTTTCAAAGACAGTTGTTAAGTTATCTAACAAGTAAGCGACGAAAAGTTGAGCAAGCTGAGCAAGCCTGGCGCACGAGAGAGAGAGCAGTGTATCTCATCTGTACGACTAGACTACTTCTAGACAACGATATAACCTCGAATACGTCCACCTCCAGCCATACATACGACAGCAAAAGATTGGGCTGGAGGATACAAAGGAGTGAAAGATTTTGCAAAGAATGAATGGAAAAGGAAGAAGAAGCATTGATATGAGAAAGAAAAAATAATGTAGCGAAGAAAGGGGAAAGAAAAGTAACAACCGAGAATAAAAAAACATACAACACCAGGGATTCGCTGGTCGTCACCGACCCAACTACTAGTCTGGCCCTCACTGGCTTATCTATGGGAGAGCGGACGGGATCCCGAGTTTTCCAGTGGGTATGGTCGTATGTGCTAGGGTATTGGAAAAATAGCGCTTAAATGCTTCGTCTTGTGATTGTGCTTCCATTTGTGATCTGCGTTGTTAGAATACATACCTAGCAATGGTTGCACTGAAGATGATCGTACTATCTCTCTGTTATAGATGTAGGTGTGTGTGTGACACCATCCATTTCCATGACTGCTGACAAACTGAATACCTAATATATCCGCAAAAAAACATCGTTGTCCTCGTTGTAATGCCAAAATCCATAATGTATCCGTCTTCCGTATATAAAAAAAAACGTGGGGTATTCCAACAAACCCACGTGCCGCTATGAGAAAGTTCAATCTCCCGGTAGGGGAAAGTGTCCCTTCCAAATCCCTTGATATCCCTTGTGACCCCCCCAAAAACGCCGGAATCTCAAATGTGTAACCTTCAAAAGAAAGGGATGAATCGGAGTAGCGATACAGGTCGATGACAGCGTACTAATCCGAGAACCATGGCACCTATGCCAGGAAGACTTTGAGGATCATGGCAGCGAGGGCGATGGATAGAACCACAATCAGTCGGTCGATCCAGAACGTCACCTCGTCGTTACTAACCCTGACCTGCGGTGGTTGACGGTGCTGCATCATAAGCTGAGGGCGAGGATTGAACTGTGCGGGCAGAGGGATCGTCCTCGTCGGCTGTGGCACACCCTGCCCGGGTTGCGCTGGGATCGAGGAAGAAGATGAAGTCATTGCCGTCTCGGGCTGAGGCGCCGGCGGCAAAGGCACCGTCTGTACAAATCCCCCGGCCAGCTCTGCACTTTCAGCATCCTCCTCATCTTGTTGCGCCCTAGACCCTGATGCCGCCGCATTGCTGCTGTTCTTGTCCATCTCGTCCCGCCAACCCATCTTCAGATCACTCGGCACCTCCACCTCGGTCTGCCCTTCCCCTTCATGTTCCTTGGCCGCTTCTTCGCACTCCCGAATGATCTCCTCGTTCGTCTTTCCGCAGGCCTGACATTTCCACGCCCTCGACTCAGTCGCCATGCGCCTGCGGACATCGTCGGTCGCGTCCAGACCGCCCAGCTGTCCCTTGGGGTCTGTCTCCATGAAGGAACGTAATGCGACCAGCGCAGTGCGTACTCCCCAGGCGGGCTGCCATGTCTCTTCGTGGTGGCCACTGATGGAAAGACAAATCTCGCGGTTGGCTTCGAAACGCCCGGAAGGTGTGACGAAGCGGAAGGATGGAGGTCGTAGCGGGTAGGCTTGTGGGAGAACGATGCGGCCGTGGTAGATGCCGTCGGCGTAGACCGAATTAGGGGGCCCGCGAAGGGTAAAGTGCCACTCGAACAGGTCGGATTCGAGCGGGGTGGCTGTGTAATCGGATGAGGGCGAAGCGGATATTTCTTGGGCTTCGCGGACTGTGATGGGTCAAGCGAATGTTAGTCCTGTAGTCTGGCAGCAAAACAGGGACTTGATGATGGAGAAACTTACGGATACGACGGATGGTGGGCGATTTGGAGTTGAACTTCGGAGTTGACATTTTGCTGGTGCTTCCGCTCTTCCTTTGATGCTAAACGATGTTTTTAAATCCTGAGATGGTCGAGTATTGGGTCCTCCGGAACTCGTGCAACTGCCTACAGCAGCGGGCAGTTCTTGGTGGTAGAGCTATCGTGCAAGGCCTCAATGGGTTGTGGCTGTGGATGGAAATCAGGACTGCTTTCTTGTATATAGATCTAACGATTATGGTGCTCTTCGAGACCGAGGGTATTTTGAAATAATGTCACATAAAATGCGCAAGATCCAGGTGTATTCAAGGTATATGTGATGGAGGTTATCTGGATGCAGATGTTAAAGAGTGGTGTTGATGGCGAAGGAAACCTGAAGATGACCGGTTGCGGTTGCGGTTTGCAACTGCGGTCACTGTAGCAAGTGGTGAGGAGCGCTGTGCATGGCTGGGCGGCACAGCTGACTGGACACCTTGCAATTACGTAGCAGCAGCTGTCATGTCAACTCAGCTCCAAGCTCCCCCGCATTCAGGGGCCGCGTTCCATGCCCTGATGGCGACCAGGCCAGCTTCCTCAGGCTCAGATCCAGGCATTGATGTCCCCATCTTGTCGTGCCATTCCAAAGTATTTTGGGTAGGAAAACAGCAGGCCTGACCGTGCAGAAGAGACTCTCAAACTGGAGAGAAGAAGTTCAGGAACCCGAGACGGACCTGGGACTGAACTGCACCGGGCCGTTGCCGGGACCGCTAGCCCGACCGCCTAGCGAGCTCCCGGGCGGGGTTTCAGTGGAGCGCCGTTGGCGGAGTAAGGTACCGTAGAATTCCGCGAAATGTATTTTGAGGGTTGTGACAAGCAAGCAGAAAACGCAAGCATACTGCTCGAATATGTGCTTTTTTTGCCCGCAGAAAAGAGTGGGGGATACAGCCAGAGAGCCCGGAGCAGTGTAAACTCGATTCTTCTAATACCATGCCTTTTTCAACCATCAAGGGCAGAGAGCTGGAGGGTGGGGACATTCAGAATCACCGTCGTACATAGAAAATCTGGTGGGCATGAATGTTGCAGTATGCTTGTGCATTATAGCTGCTTGTGAGGGTTATCTTAGAAGGCCCCAAAATACGTTTCGCGGAATTATACGGTACCGGACGACATCATCAGCGGTGCGCTGCGGGCTGTCTGCAGGCAGGAACGGTACTTATGCAGAGCGTTCTGCCACGAATACTTCATTATTACAAAACACTTCCGTTTTTAGTGTAGGTGCTACGGCATCGTCCAACAGCGGGCTTAACGAACGGCACTTTAAGCTTCAAATAGAGGGACACTGGATCACAATGATCGTGATGCTTTACACATCCGCCCACAAGGCCAAAAATAAAGGAAATTCGACGCCTGTCGCTTTGATGGGACACCCCACCGTTTAATTTACAGTGGATCGCTGCAACTGCCAACTTACCCCTGACAAGCCGGTCATCCAAAGCTTCCATGTGAACTCGGGCACGTTAGTAATCAAGAAATGTTGGTCCTGTAACTCATTTCATCCGTTCGCATGATTGGCCTAGGATTAAATGGAAGAAATGAGCAGCTGGGACATGAAGCTCCCGAAAGCTGATTCTTTGTACGTAGTATAGTAATTGGTGACCCGGAGGCCGGTCCTACCTACGACATGGCACACCAACGTCGTTGTCTTCATTCCTTGTTGAAACGTGATGATAGCCGCAGTTCGCCAACGTTCGGGACATCGACATCAGAATGCAACAGCATCCCATTTCCAACACCAACGAGCATGGATGTCACAAGGGTTCTTTTGCTTCGACTTCGAGAACCAACAGCAGCGCTTATCCTGATTGGTTGTGAGGGCCCCTGTTGAGGCTGATTGCGGATGGAGGCGCCCCCCTGCATGGCTGTTTGCCATTCCGGGAGTCCCTGGGCCACCGATGTTTCGACTTTCGACAACATCCACCCACCTCCGCCAACTTCACTTTCTTCAATCTTTTTTCCGAGGCAGCCTCTTGCGCTCCCCCATTTCCCACGTTTTCCCCGTCCATCCTGTCCGCGCCACCAGAGCCTGGACACTGCAGATTCGCATCTTGATATCCCCTGACGATGGACCGGCGATAGCCTCGATTCGCGACCACGGCCTCCATACCCCCGAGCCTCGAAGCGAGCTTACTTTAACGAACGACCCGACCACGGTTCATCCGGCAATCATTCTATCCAATAGCCCAAACTTTCGGGCCCCTCATTTATTGTACAACCCAAAAGATCGCGACTGTGTCTCACAGAGACATGATCCTTGATGGACGCGACGCCATACAGAACGTCTTCCACCTCGACCGCCCTCGATCCCCCTTCTTCCTTGCCACCCAACATGGCGCGCCGCTGGGCCAGGAAACTCGAGCGCTACTGCTGCACATGCGTCACCTACTTTCCCCTCGCCTTCGTTTACAGTATAACAAGTTGGGCCGTTTATGTGGATGTCTCGCTTAGTACGACCCCATCTGGCGTTACTTGGCTAGGTAGGTCGACCCCCCTCCTCCCGTCTCAACATCGCTGGTGCGTCATGCTGACCATATTGTTTTCTTCCGCGCAGGCAAGTCCTATGGCTTCGTCGCCGTCATTCTATACCTCTTGGCCAACTGGTGCTATACATATGCCGTCTTCACTTCGCCAGGGAGCACTACCAATGACCATGGCTACAGCACCCTCCCTACACAGGCACCCCCTACTGCCACCTCATTTACCGTCAAGTCCAATGGCGAATTCCGATTTTGCAAGAAGTGCCAGGCACGAAAGCCTGACCGCGCTCATCACTGCTCGACATGCCGCCGCTGCGTCCTGAAAATGGACCACCACTGCCCATGGCTTGCAACCTGCGTTGGCCTGCGCAACCACAAGGCCTTTTTGCTGTTTCTCTCCTATACTTCGATCTTCTGCTGGGTCAGCTTTGCCGGATCGGGGGCGTGGGTATGGGAGGAGATTATGAGCAATACGACCTACGTCGAAACCCTCATGCCCGTCAACTATATCATGCTTTCCGTCATATCCGGGATCATCGGTATCGTCCTTACCGCTTTCTGCGGGTGGCATATTTACCTTGCCTCCCGCGGACAGACCACCATCGAATGCTTGGAGAAGACACGATATCTCTCTCCGCTGCGCGAATCAATGCAAAGGACCTATGTCAACCAGCATACGCCCGGCCAAGGTGTTGCGCTTCCCAAGTATGGACAGCAACTATTGGATATCCACCAAAACGCCATCCCAGGGGTCACAAGGCCAGAGGAAGGTGAAGAGCTGCGACGCATCACGACTCCTTCGGGCTCATCACTACAAAACGATACGACCGCCCAGCACAACCCCGAACTCCAGGCCGGCTCCCGCCGCTTCACCTATGACGAGATGGAGCGCATCCGCGCGCGCAAACGTTACGAAGAATACTTGGACGAGCAGGACTCGACCAAGCTGCCGCATGCTTTTGATCTCGGGTGGCGGCGCAACCTGCTCCATCTCTTTGGAACTAGCGCCTGGCTATGGCCCTTCCCCGTATGCACCACTCTCGGCGACGGATGGAGCTGGGAGCCGAACCCGAAATGGCTCGAGGCCCGCGATCGCATCGCTCGGGAGCGCGAAGAGCAACGGCAGCGGGAGCGACAAGCCGGATGGGGCCCGGCAGACAACAACGATATCACGCCCGTATATACGCCCACATACCAACAGCAACAAACAACAACAACAACTTCAAGGGGGTGCAAGCCGTCACTACTTGTCGCCCTCCCAGCAACAGCCACAGACACAACGCAGCAATGCCTGTTCCACCAGCCCATCATTCACCCCTTCGCGACGAGCACCGAGCAAAGCCGATCGAATCCTAGGCCGCGACCCGAACATGTACGTCGACGATGAACCAGTAATATACGGCAAACACGACGTCGCTATGAGCAGACTCAGTCCAGCAGGCCGTACTCTGTTAGTAGAAGACGAAGTCGACCTCGACGATGATGACGACGATGACTACTTCCAAGATGCTGGCCGAAAGCAGGAAGAAGCGGAGCAAAACGCCCTGAACGTGGTGACGAATGGGAGATGGGGTCGCTCCGCCGGTGCCAGCGCCAGCGGCGTAGGATTGCTTGCGCATGGACGTCCCGGGGGTTCCAGGAGTCCTATTAGTCCTATTAGTCCTCAAGGGGGCTTTGGCGGTGGTGGTCACGCTGGGGAGGCGAGGAATGGGAATGGGGAGAGGAGGTCGAATGATGATGGTGTGGATTGATTTTAATTTCTGGTTCTTTCTCTTCTGACTTACTTTCCTTACCTGCTTGCCCTACCTTGGCTGGTGGGATAGGGCGGGTTGAGTTTTTTTCCTTTGATTAATTGGGCGAGCAAGGCGTTTGTTTCGGCCTACTAGTACCGGTTGGCATAGTCTGTTTTATATCCAATCTATAGCTTACTTTTTCTCCCATTTGGCGGCCTTGAGCGAAACATACCATATCATATTTCTTGGTTCCCTACCTACACCAAACAAACAAGTGCTTGAACTGTCAAAAAAAAAGCTTAATATCAAGTCGTAGGTGAATGAGGCAGGTTTTATCTTGTATTGAGCAAGCAAAATATATGCATGGGCATGGCGTTTTAATACTGTAGCCGTTATTACTCGCTACTATCATTGCATCATCTTTGCTTTTCCTTCTCGGTTCACGCCACCCATCCCACCTACTTTGACTTGTCCATTTGTTTACATTCCCCTGACCAACGGGATCTTGGCGGCTGTCGGAGGAACGAACGTAACCAATTTTTGTAGGTGTCTGTCGACATGACACTGTCAATGACCGTCAACGATCTGGCTGCATCTTTGCTTTCCGCTCATGTCACTTTTAATTCGGAACGAGTCCAAGAAGAAGCAGGATTACACAAATTGGTAGGTAGTAAGTAGTACGCTTGGATTGATACCCAGAAGTAACCAAGAAACTCGGAGCCCGAAGAGTCCCTCCCAACCTGTAGCCAAAACAGGCTTGATTAAAAATAATGACATGAAGAGAAGAAAGGAATATTGACATCAAGACCAAACGAACCGAAGTTATGGTCACCGCCGCCGCCGCTGCCGTCGTTGCAAAACAATTTGAAGAACTCCCAGTATGCTTGCATGTCTTACAGGTAGTAGTAGTTGTCTTCCGAGATGATGTGATGCCCCAATGCAAAAAAACAAAAAAGGAGTAGAACCCGCCCGCCTGTTGTGCCTCGCAAAAGTTAACTCGGATCTTTCCGGTTCCCTGCTTTGTGTCTGTAATAAACCCCTTATAGCCATCCTTTCCGTTGCCCCTTTTCTTCGCTCTCATTTCATCTCTTTTTTTTCTTCGCTCATGGCAAAGTTGATGCACCCTTGATATGCCGCCCTAAAAACATGAGTTCCTCCCATCTTAGATGCATGCCTGTCCCCTGGACTTCCCCCGCTTCCCCGCCGCCGCTGGCTGGACAAGGAAGCTTCACGCAAATGCGCAAGGGGAGAGTAGAAGGAGAACAGTTAAGAAAGAAAGAAAATGATATTACTTTTCTCTTTCCCTGCTTTCCCAATGCCAGCCCAGCCTTTCCGACCCTTCTCTCTAAAGTTTGCCTCGTGCCATTCCCAGTTTGCACACAAATATCTCAAAGCAGCCCTCCCGATGTTGACGATGCATAATCAGAACAGAAGCCCGCTGCCAAACAAGAGTTAACGCATTGTGATGAAAGAAAAGCGATGGGACTTGATACACCAAATGATCCAGTCTCAGATGCAACCCTGGTAATCGAACAGACTCTGTCCATCTGAAGGACAAGGGAGAAATGACACAGAATCCTCACAAGAGAATCGAAACGAAAACGCTCGGCGCCGGATATGTGATGTTTGGAAATTGCGGGTATGGGTGGGTATATGTGTTAATCACAAACAGTGAAACAGTTGAAAAATGAATCATGAACATGCGGCCTCCCACACGAGATAAAACAGATCGTGAAGTGTTCCGAGATAGTGATGATACATGGTCGCTCGAGATGATGGAATATCCCCGTAACAGACAATAAAAGAAATGGTGATAATGATACAGTACCGGAGTGAACCGTACGAAACGGCTCAGGTCCGGCCGCTATCCATGCTGGATTTGGGGCTGATGCCGGACTGGTTGAAGATGTTCTTGATTCTGCTAACACTGTTTCTCGGAACTTCGCTGGAATAGGCAACCATGATATCGGTAGGTTGGCTCTTGGTGATTTTGCAGAAGAGGGTCGAGAACAGGTAATTGTACCCATTGTGATCAAGCAGCGGTATCGTGCGGTAACCTTGCTTGAGGCCGCCAAGTTTGGCTGTGAAAGTCGCCAGAGGAGGGCTGCGGTCGTTGTATCCTTTGTGGTCGCCAAGCTTCACGCTCCAGCGCACAAATATGAGATCAGGGTACTTGGTGGTAACAGTAAACTCATAAGAGTTATTGCCTTTGAAAACGGGGTTGAAGCCATTATCTTTGACGATGTCGGTGCGATATTTCAGCAGAGTTTCCTGAGCTGGCGCATTTGTGGCACCATCTTGCTTATTTCTCTTGTCATCGGCCAGGAAGATCTCGACTTCGACATACGGATCGAGTGTTCGCCCCTTGGGATGATTCAGTGGCCTCATCAACTGTTGCGCAGAGATGACCTCAATCTTGAACGAGATCTTTTTGCGCGGTCTCTTACCCAACAGCTGCCCGGCAGCATCCGTTGGGACGACCTGGATCTGACGTCCTTCAAGGGGCTTGAGAACGTAGCCGGACAAGTCGGTGCCACTATCGAACATGGCCTGATTCAGCTGCATTCCCAGGTCGAAGGTCTGCCAGTTAAGTGCCGCCATTTGAACCCCGCGCTTCCAATAGAGGAGTGGGTCAAAGTTGCTAGAAGATATACGACCTCCGTTCGGATACACCCGCATGAGATAGCGCATGTTATGACGGTACAAAGCACGCTTTGCTTCGCCCGGTTGGCTTCTCTCAGCAAAGGTCTTTTCTTTGAAGGAGAAGATGTGGTTGAACCTTTTGGCGTCAGGGCTGTCGAACCCATCAAAGTGAACACCCATGCAATATACGCCCAGTTCGCCAAGGACAGGGTTGATCTTGCTCACCACCTTCTTCCCCGACTCCTTCTCAGCATCACTCTCGTATTCGCTAGGGCTGCTACTAGGCCCCCCGTGAGAATGAACCTCGCCCTCAGTGATGGTGTTGATCTGCCGTGTCGAGCGGGACAATGGACTTGGACTCAACGAAGGGCTTCCAGGGACGGCGATGGGTGTGTTATCCATAGGCGATGACAAAGGTGATGACCTCTGATAAGGTGAGGGCAGGCTGTTGCCGCGCCTCCGACCAGGTCGCTCAGTCTTCAGCGACTCCTCAGATGGTGCGCTGGGTACTGGTTGGGACTTCTTGACCTTGATAAGTATGCGCTCGATTAACTCGGACGGTGAAGGGAGTCGATCAGAGGACGGATCGAGGGGCGCCCGGACAAGCTTGTCGCCAAAAATGTCAATCATGATCTTTGCCATATTGGCCTGAGTAGCAGTGCTGCAGCGGACCTCCAGCGATATCCAGAGAGGGAAGCGAGACTTGACAAAGGCATACTTGTTGATGGTCTTGATCACCTCCTCAAATTTGATGCGTGTTGTCCAAGTATGACCGTGTGACACATACGGCTCGTCATTTGGGCCGTCCCAGCAGTCAACTTCAACGCACCTGCAACCACGCTCAAGGGCCGAAATATAGCCTTCGACGCTAGAGATTCCACGGACTTGGCGACCAAGGAGATATGTGTTGTGTGAGCTTGAGATATAATACTCATTCATAGGTCGGTCGAGTACATATTCAGATGGCTCTTGAACGAGCAAGTTGTTGAACCGCGAAGTCAGAAATCCAGTGAAGCCAGCCTCAGAGATGACCAGTGACTCGTCCTCGCTGGTGGTCTGCTCAGCATCCTTGGACCTGCGCTTACGCGCGAACTGAGAGAAGATATCGTTCCAATGCGTAAGATCTTCCTCCACGTTTTCGCATTGAGTTTCTTTCAAGAAATGCATGAACTCTTGCCTCGTCATCCCTGCTTTAGGGTTGGCCGTATGGGTTTCGAAGACAACGGTTATCTCTGTCCTTGCCTTCAGTAGCCGCACAAACTCCTTGAACTCATTGAAGTTCAGATTGGAAGGAGAGGTTGGATCACAGGGGCCATTGGACGCAGCCTTGGCAGCTTTAGCCGCGTTGAAGTTGTCGCGGATCTCTGTTGGCGAGAGGTGCATGTGGAGAGAGCGACAGATTCGCTCAATGTCGGGAAGTTCAATGGTTTCGCCTTCGGCCGGAGTGTTCCTGTCTGCGTACTTCTTTCTCATTTGTCGCTGCCAGAACTCGTGGACAGCCTTTTCGTTGGAGGCCATCAGGTTCGTCGTGAAGTCTTGGCGATACTGAAGTATGGCGTTGAGTGTCGTGACCCAGTTCCGGAAGTCGGTGGAATTCAGGGCAATGAGATGCAATACCTTGGTCCCCGACTTTTCTGGGACTGTATACAGGATTGAGAAAAACCGGGGCTCTTCGGACTCATCAACCCCGGCGTCAAGGCGGTACTGTCGAATGTCCTCTGCCGTCCTTACTTCCTTGATGTCATCGATAAAAACGGACTTTCTCCCTGATCGACTCTTGTCCCACCATATCTTGGAAGTGTCTGGATCAATGGTGAGGGTGATTCTCTTTTCCTTTTTCTTCTTGCTGATTTTCTTCAATATGACACCTTGGCGTAAAGCGACCGGAATCTCAGGCCCAATGCTCAGGGGAATTTGGGCGTCTCGCAACCCATCAAACGGACTCGCATCATCTATAGCACACTCGTCATCTGATTCCAGCAAGTAACCTCTGTAGTTCGGTTCCCCGAGTGGGAAGGTGTTACTCCCACGGCGGAAAGACGCCACCATAGGGTCAGCATCCCGATTGATGGTATTCATCGACGCTCTTCGTGTAAGTATGTCGCGCGCTTTGTTCACAGTATTTGAAGCACGACGGACCAGACTGCCCGCAAAGCTGCTTTTGGCCAGAGCCTCGCCCATAGCATTCTGTTGTCGTGGGATCTTCTCTCCGACTTTCTCTCCATTCTTTTTTAGCGAGGTGCTGCTTGTCTTTGATGACAAAGGAGCCGGGGCAAGTGGCTCGGGGAGGTTGAGAGGTGTAACTGGGTCCTCCATTCCCTTGGTCGTAGAAGCGTAAGAGTCCGTTTCCTTTTGCGTAGATGAGGCGAAGGTTG